GGAGAAGGCAAAACCTGCAGGCAGGTGGGGATGCGCGGAGTGGCCGTCTTCATGCTTATATTTAAAACCTGATCTCTGAATTTTTGCTTTAATTTTGCTTAATTTTTGCTGTTGGGACAGGGCTGAGCACGGTACGGCCTGGGACTGTCCTGGGATGCTGAGCTCCCCCCTCTCCCACCTGCAAGATACCACACAAGGTGCCAAATGAGTAATCGTTAAGCCAGCACTCAAGTGACTCATTAGTGACAATCACCACTGATTTATTATTTTATTTTTCCAGCTGATGTTTTCAGCTGATTTCCCTGCTCCCCAGCCTGGTTTCTGCCTTGGGCTTGCAGAGATAGGAGCCACGATGCCATCAGGAGGCAGCCAGGTAGTTCCCTGTGCTGGAACTCTTTGCAAAAAGAAAAAATTAAAAAAAAAAAACAACAACAGCAAAAAAAAACCAAACCACAACAACTGGTTTTGGACCAGGTAATGAACTTGAGGATTTCAGACTGCACACAGCTGCCTCTGGTGGGGCTGCAGCGCTCCCATCCACCTTGGCCCCTCTCCTGGAGCTGGATGTAGGTCAGTCAGGAGTGGGAGGCTAAGCCCGCACCCTGCCCCACATCGCTGGATCTTCTCCTAATCTTCTGCCTTAACTGGTGTGTAAGCCTCGGGCTGAAGGAACTGGGATTTATTCTGCTGCCGGCCAGGTGCCGGCGGTAAGGCTGGATGTGTGACTAGTGTAGAGCGTCCCCGTAAATAAAGCAAACTGCCTTCTTCCAGCGCTGTCCTTGAGCTATTTTGGAGCGAGGGGGAAGGTGAAGGCTCTTCAGGGAGGTACCTGACCACTTCACATCACTTTTTCTCTCGTTTTCCTCCAGCTCCCAGTTTTATTTTTCCCTGTTTTCCCTCTGGAACGGAGAGGCTGAGCGCGTGCGGGCAGGGCAGGTACGGGGGGTCTCCGGTGGGGCTGCCTCTCGCCTCCGAAAGGGCCTGGGGCTGTAACGTCACCTTGTTAGTCCCTGGTGGGGTTGTGGGTGTCCAGGCTTGCAGGATCCACGTGGCCAGCAGGGGCTAAATTTGTCTCAAGGCGTGTGGGTGGGCTGTCGGTGGCTGCGAGGGGAAATCCTCCGTCAATTCTTGGGGCTGAACCAGCCTAATTGGGAAGCCTCTTGATTTCCATTCAGCTCTGTGCAGTGCCCAACGCTGGCGAAACTTTTTATTGCAGAAAAAGTGAACAACTTCCCTCCGCTGCCGAGGTTCATCCCCTTGAAGCCATGTTTCTACCAGGACTTCGATGCGGAGATCCCGCCGCAGCACCGGACCATGGCCAAGCGGCTCTACTACCTCTGGATGCGTGAGTCGCTGGGCAGGGAAGGGCTCGGGTGGGTTTGTGTTTGCTCCTCTGGAAGGCAGAGCAAGACCAGGGGAAGTCCTCCTGCCCCTCCAGGCCTTGGTGTCTCTTCTTAAAACCCATTGGGGATGGGATGAGGGCTGCAGCGTCCTATGGGCTTCAACCCTTCCAGCCTCTGAGGTGGAGGTGTGGAGCTGCTCGGCATCTGAGGGCCATCGGTGTCCTTGACATCATGCTGCGAGGAGGAGATGGCTCAGCACCCACGTGTCCTCCTGCCAAAGGATTTACTCCCCTCTCCGTCTCACCCAGCGGCCGGCCTTGCCCCCCAGGAGAGCTGCCGAGCCTCCGCTGGCTTTCTTTGGCAGCCGGTCGAGGGAAGGGCTTTCTCTGCCACCTCAAACTCCTTGTGAGCCCTTCGGCAGTGGCACAAGGCTGAGATGTCGC